TTTACTTATTTCAATCTTAAAATATGTGTAAATTTTCAATTAATTAGTAGATAGTAATCCTTCCTAAGATACTCTAAAAATTCTTGCAGTAAGATTAACTTACTAGTCTCCATGAACTATGAAGTCCATCTTTATTCATATTGTTTAATTAGGTCTCTGGTTGCATTGCAATGTGCTATCCTAATAATCGCTCAATTTTATGGTGTCTTCCTTCCAGATGGTCGCAACATTACAAGAAGCGTGCCAAGGATATCCTGAATGGAAAAGACAACACAATCCACATTGGAAGCCATGGCACAACCCAGAGCAGATGACCAAGCCAAGAGTGAGGCTAGAAGATGTAAGACACATTACTTGCACACACTTTTTACATTTTGTTTGGTATAAATTTAAAACATTCTTCTCCTTTCTTCTTTCTTCTTCAAATAGTGCAAGCCGTCTCCAGCTGATATGCAACTTGCAGGGGATGAATTAGATGGAGATAAATCAAGTGGCAGCCGCAAAAAGTAAACACAATCTTGTCTTCCTGTGTAATGGCCACTACCCACTACTACAATACATGCATACTTAGTGAAAATTTCAACTTGTGTCTTAAATTTGTTGTAGAGCAAAGCTCATTGCAAATTATATTGAATGTTAAACCAGGGGCCTAATTTTGATCAACAGGGTCCATATTCATTTACCCTTCTAGCATTTGTCGACACCTTTATAATGGCTTTGTTTATGGCTACTATCTGTTTATGAATATCCCTGACACGGTAGTAGGATAACTTTAAATATTACAAACAAGGCTTGCTTTATTGATCTTTGCATAAAATTTTTAATGTTTAATGCTAAAATTGAAGTGTATATGAAAATCTTTGTGCAATCTGTGATAATATTTCATGTTATCATTTGGTGTGAAATTTTCAAATCTCTTTAAATACTGTTTTCATATTTTAATAGGAGTCTGCAATTTGAAAATTTCTTGAACCCTTGTCTTTATCAAACAACAGTCAGTTGATGTAGAAGATTTTTTTTTTAAGAAAAAATTGTAAAATGAACTGGTACAGTACCCCACATATCACCTTTGGACCCTTAAACTTTAAAAAAAAATCAGTAGCTGGAAAAATACTAGGTCCAAGACTGTTTGGTGCTCCTCTGCTTTTGTGTACTAAATTTATGGTCTTAACAAGCATGATCAGTCAACCTTTGGATTTGGTTGTTTAGATAACCCAATAATTGTGCAGTGATCTAGGAATATAATTCGACATGACATAATGTACATACTAGTATAATACTTAAGGTTATTGCCTTAAAGCAACTCTAAAACCAATGGTTTTGAACGGTTGTGCTATTTTCTGCTCCAAAGGCATTATTCCATAAAAAAATTATATTCCCTATTCATGGACTTTGTTAAATTTCTTCCCAACAGTATATAATTTTGTATAGAAAACTTCACTTCCAAGCCAAAAGTGCAAAACAGGAATGATAGGTAACTTTTGTTTTAGAAACTGTTAAAAAATTCAGAACTTGAATGTCGTTCTGATGAAAATAATCCAGGGCGAATAAATGTATTGTACATGTATTGTTAATTACTATAAAACTACTGGGTATTGCAAGTACCTATTGTACCTGTAAGTGTAAATTACCAGTATTACATTATGGTGGCTGTTTTCTATGATAGCTTTGTATGTGTGTGTTAATCTTGCCTAAAAGTGTGTGAAAGTCTTTTGACGTTTCATAGTTTCATATGAATACTATGACATCTTGTCAGCTCCTCATATTTTGTGTTATTTCAGATCTAGTCTTGTCCAGAGTTGTTGTGCTCAAGACGGAAAGGAATCAGGTTTTACTACAATTATGTGCTCTATAAACCTCAGATAGTCAAACTGATATGATAGGTGGTCATTGAAGCCAAGCCCCCTTCTCTCTGCTAAGAAATAACTCTCTTCTGTCTCTTAACCATTTCTTTTAAAAATTTATTTCAGGTTTGTTTTGAGGATATGTGTCTTTTAATTTGTTTTCAAATTAAACTCAGCATATGTCATCTGGCTGGATAAGTGACAAACTTCCTGACAAAACCTGAATCTGCTCTCGTGAGAATACCGTAAATTCAATCTCCTTTAATCTATCTGCTAAAATTTTACTATGCAATGTCCCTAGGTTTCGTCTTTTAAAGTGAGCTTTTATAAGAGATTTTTTCCTAAAACTGGTACATTTTAAGACGTGACTATCCCAAATGTATAATTGTTAAAAATGATTGTCATAGTTAACTATAACTGATAACGTTATCAAGAATTATCAAACAGAAAGGAAAGAAGGCAGTGTTGGTGCCAACCAAGTACTACAATTAAATGTTATTCTATCAGCAGCAAAATCAATTCCTATTTCTTTCAAAGTCTCACGATCCTGGTCACCCTAGCCCTGGCGGCTAGGCGAGGAGACGGTGAAGAAGAGGAAGGAGGCGAGGGAGATCGGGCCCGGTGGGAAGGAGGGGAAGGGAAGGGGTAATTGTAGAATGGGGGGG